TAGTCAAGCCTTAAGCAAGAGCTTCTCTATTTAATACATCATCTAAATAAAAAATAAAAAATAATTTATTTGTTTACTGCTAATATTTAAACTGCTAATAGCTGCTAGTTGTTATTACAGTTGATTGTGTGCGAATGAAGGTAAGTTTTTTTTAAATTTTAACCCAAATTATGCTTAAAAATTGAATATTTTCACAATTCTTTTTGACATTTCTTTCTTCACAAGACTCTTACGTTATATTTCTTTAAAAGGCAATTGATATAAACATTTATTCTAGCTATAAAAACATCATTTATCCTAGATCTACTTATGGGTATGTTATAAAATCCTTAATAAAAAGGCTCTGACAGAGTTCATTACCTTTAAATAACGTGTGAAGCAATTAGGAAATTGAATATGCAGTTAGTCGCTCAATTTTAAATATGATATAATTATCAATATATCATATCAGTCTGTATTTATATTATATAACCTACTTTAGGAGTCTTATTGGTTTCAACAATACACATGGGCACTATTTAAGGCAATGTCCCATATGCTTTCAATCGGCTATGGACGTTTTCCTCCGACGAGTACGCACGAGGCTTGGATAACAATCGTTAGTATGATGACAGGCGCCACTTGCTATGCTCTTTTTGTTGGCCATGCGGCTGCTTTAATACAGTCTTTTGACTGTTCTAAAAGGCTATATAGAGAAAAGGTAAGATAAATATTATTTCAATAAATAATTGTGGCTCATTTATTTAAAATTACTCTTTTTGATTGTAATGATAATATGACATCCTATTGTTGTAGATAATAGTAAATTGGAATAAATATATTTCACCTATTTAACTCTAGTCTAAATTATAATAAAATAGTAGATAATACTATTTTTTACTATTTTATTTTATTGCTTAGCAAATAAATCTTATTATGTGTAAAAATTTAAGGTCCATAGATAGGACTCAAACGCATCTGCAGATAAACGTCAATTATAAGTCATGCTGACAATAGATCTAACATTTACATGACTTTTTTGAGCAAATCTAATAAAATTAAAATTGTGTATATTTAAATGAAAAGAGAATATTTTTATAATATGAATTTTTTTAATGATTCAGATAGCCTAAATTGAGTTACGTCTGCTTTTTATTTATTTATCAATGCCAATTTTATGTGCTTTAAACAGCCTCATTTACCTAATTGGTCTTTAGAATATAAATTTGAGTCCATTAGAAAATAAATAAATAAATATAGATCGAACATGAAATTTAGATGTTTTCGCCTTGTTTTCGCCTCAGATAGATCTTATTAAATTTCCCTATTTCTGCGTCCTCTGCTATATAATGCAGGATGATGTCAATAGTGCTAAGGATGGCGCCTCTTTAGGACAATACCGATTACGATGCCAGCCAAATTTTTGCAAATGTTTCTAATCAACTATAGGTTGATAAAATTCATCACGAATTCTATGACAGAGGACGCAGATCTAGGTAGGTTTTAAAAGGTACCCATTTATCTGTGAAAAAGTTCTGGACACGAGGTCAAGAAAACCCTCTACAGCTACTGCATAGTACGAGCAAATAAAAAGCAACACATTATTTCTCTTTCATTTGCAATTAAATATAATTTCATAATAAAATAAATACTAAAAAAATTTAGACGAATCACTTGTTCATTCTAGTAGCAATTGCTTGGTAATCATTAGGGTGTTTTATTATATTTCTTTCAGAAATTTTCCATTAATTTAATAGCTGGATCTTTTAAGTGGCTTATTTTACTCTATTAAAAATGTATTAAAGCGAAACTTTGGTTTATGCATTATTTAAATTCTTCTAGGCTTGTCCAGTAAATTAATAAATAATATAGCATTAGTATATCATAAGAAATAATTTTTAATCTTAACAGTTTATTTTTACGAATACCAGTTAACAATCTTAATATTCATAGATAATTTTGATATTCTTTTAGATCTAAATACAAAATGCTCTCATTAGGCTTTATTTCTAACTCAATATATATTTATAAATGAGAAAATGACACTAATTGTATTCAAAATGTATTGTTCAGTTGAATACTATTTTTATTCGTATATAAATATTTGAAGGGCAAATTAATGCTAGATTTGATTAATCGTAGTTCAATTAATGGCTATAGCATACTTAATAGTAGCACTTTAAACTTGATTTATTCACATTTAATAGATTTACAGTCTATGTCTAGATCTTAATTGAGTGCTTTATACATTAAAGCTCATCTAAAGTGAGGAAGGATTGGTATTTGACTTTTATGATAATAATGTGCTAAGATATTATTACGAAATTGAAAAGTAGTTGATCTTGCTTCCCATATGCTAATCTTATTTAAAGTATATTAAAGTTCTAACCTAGCTTGGGCCCCATTAGCACACTTAATGATACCAAACTTGGGGAGGGTAAGGGGTTACCTCTTAAGGTTACGATAAACCACTCCTTACTGAATAATAATTGGGCTGCTATTGGGCGTTGGGCGAGATCGAAACTGCAGTTTGCGCTGATGAAAAATGTCGTTTACATCAAGTATACTTTAATTTTAGCATAAAGCACACCAGTAGCAGTAATAAAAGTTTCAACCTACAACCAGAAGTCACTTTATATGACCTATATTTAATACATTAAAAATCAAAATATTTACTTCATTTTCAATTATTGCAAAACTTCTGTATTGCCACAGTTCGATATAAGTCATTTTGTTTTAATCTTTAATTTAATGACAAAACGTTATTCAACCTATATATAATTTTAAATCAATATATCAATACTGTGTCAGTTGCTATCTTTGCTAATGAAATTTGATATGATTTTGAAGAGAAATATTAGTAACACAATCATATTACACTAAAGATTTTGACTTTTAAAATCCAAGCATAGATTATCAAGTAATAACAATAATCATAGTCTAGTCTCCTAGGAGAATACAGCTAACGTCTTTATCGTTAGCTTAGATAAATTTAATCAAGGGTATGAAGACCAAAACGGTGTAGTTTTTGGTGTGGTCACAGTTTCCTTTCGTTGCATAGAGGTTGTTTGATCTTGTTTTGGCAACTTAACCATATTGATAGGAAGACTTAAAGGAACGCACGTAGTCCTAAGGCCATTGTCTGCATGATCATTTCCAAAGTTGAACCATGGACGTGGTACTTTCTTAAACGCTTCACCGGCATCGTAGTCGGCATCGTCAGTGAGTATCGCCCTTCTGAACACCATACAACAACTCGTCAAAAGAGACAAGTGAAGCCGATTCTTAGACCAAACGTATGCTAAACAGTTGTGGCATTTCCCCTTCTGCCCTGGGCTATTCACATTTCCTATATACTTTTATCACGGCTTCACTGTTACTATTTTTACCGTCCATATTTCGATGTAGTGTGGTGTGATCCTTTGGGCGGCATTCATGAAAACCATTCACACTCTATGCTTTCGTTCTCACCGTCTTCACCCTTGTGTTAGGAATGTTGATCAGAGTCTGCCATATTGTTACGCAGTTCTCCTTCCCTAGGTCTTATTAAAGTCTCTCTCTTGTCCCGTAAGATCCGTCTGTTCCCTCCATGGTTCACGAATTTCACTCGACACCTACCATTCCATCTGTGCCACTCGAGGCGTTATTCACCCAAGTTGCGAAAGCAAGGTCAAACATCCTCTTTAGATAAACCTAATTTATTGGGTATATAAGACTTCTATAGTGTACAATTATTCGCATTGTTCTTAATCTACCATTTTAATAATGTAACTTTCTACTATCCATGATTTTCTTGCATCGCCATTTATTAAATAAAGATTTTATAAAAAGATCTTTATCTTGTATGCTTACAAATAATTAAAGAGACCATCAA